AGTGTATTGAAAAAGGAAGTAAGAGATTGTCATTTAGTTTAGGAGTGATGTGCACACAGTCTATAGGAATAGCACACGAATTACAATGGATTGTTTGCGAGGCCACTGTCCTCTCAGACTCTTATACAGTATTATATAGAAATTGTGCACAAAAAACACAAAGTTTTTTATTTTTTTCTTCATTTTTTACAATATTATGTGTTCAGACATAATAACCCAACGGGTCATTCATTGCTTACATTTTTGCTTTGAATACCAAAACCTATTATTTAATTATAATTTGACTTTTTGTGATGGGAATAATGTCATTAAAGTAATAGAAAATTAATACAATATACCATATATTCTGTTAACTTTTGAAAATTTTTAGTCACAATATATTTGTATTTTTATTACTTTATTGCTTAAAATTGTAATAAGTTTTAGCGATGGATGTATTAGAATATAGCATTAATATTGTTAATAAAATTTTAAAGACTTTTCTATTTGACAATTAATTTGTGTGTTTCGAGAGAATAAGTTCAATGATTTTGTGCCAATTCTTAAAATAAAAGTTTAAATTAGTTTTTTCTTTCTATATATCTTTTGCATTATAATTAAGTTCACCGCAAACTCTGTGACACAACTAATATTGTGGTTAAATAAAGTCATATAATTTGGGAAATCCTCTGATTTATTATGTAAGCCATAAGTGAATAGGTCTTTCCCCGACATGGTTTTGGCTTTTGGAGCTAAATATACTATTATTGCATTTTAAACATGATTTTTATGCACTTGTCATCTGATTTTCGATGAGATAATCATTGAAAACTGGCGTATCGTATGACTGATGAAGAATTAGAGCTGAAATTCTGTAAATGAAGAAAAAAATAAAAAACTTTGTGTTTTTTGTGCACAATTTCTATATAATACTGTATAAGAGAGAGAGAAGAAAAACATGACATTCACAGCACACGTCTAGTTGTGAGACAATTAATGGCATAATTTCTGACACCACAGAATCGCTGATGCAATACATGTTTAATGGTTTTTTGGTTTTGATATATAGTCGGCGATGCCATACGTTCCCTTCAGTAGACGGCTTCCCTTCAGTGCACCGCCGGCGACACCACTGCCGCCGACGCCTCCGCCGACGCCACCGCCGACAGCCTTCAGAGGCAATTGATCTTTGGGTGTGGGAAAGGGTCCGCACTCGGCCTCGTATATCATTGGCAGCCTTAACACCCAATACGTGGATTGAGACAATCGGATCGGTTCAGTGTTGCCGGGATAGAAGATAAGGCACGGCATGGGCGACGGTTGCACTCTGGGGTTCAGCGTCACGTTCACCGGCGCTTTAGGTGTGACGATATGTACGCGCATTAACTGAGCCAATGTGTTGGGCTTTCCCTGTCGGCTATCCGCGCCATCACATCCGACACAGAGTTATTGGGAGACAGAGAGAGAAAAAATATTCATAAAACAACTTTTATAGAGAAAAAGAGTTATTATTATAGGACGAATGCATTCAAAGAGAGGAGTTTAACACTAATGCTATAATTTATTGCTTTTAAATGTTTGGTAAGTCTATGCGCTGGTAATGAATCAAATAAGTTAAAACGACCGAATCGTATGGTCGTCATAGGCGTGGGATTGAATGGGACGGCCAGTACAGCGCTGACCGATAGCGCAATGACTTACTTGCAAACGCAGGGAAAATACAGCGGCATATCATTGCTGGCCACTCGATTGGCCGACTCCTTCACTATACCCATAGACGCTTTGAGCACAGAGTCGGGTCCGGAGGCGATGAAACGGTGTCCTCGATGGCACTCGTACTCAACACCAATGAAAACCTTTACAGTGAATTGAGTGCCGTCTGTGGTGTCGGTCGAGTGGTAACGAAACCAATGAATAAATTTAAATGACAAAAATGTAGCAAAAAATGCATGAATTTAAATATAGAAAGAGTGGCAAATGTATTGATGCCAACCTTTGAATGTCTTCTTGTTCTTAATGCCTGGCGGTCTCTTCCCCTCCCAGAGGGGCGGCAAATGTCCCGAATGTTCCAACTTTACGGTCACATCCCATGGCAGCAGGAAATTGGCGCCACTTATAAAGCCCGGCTGTTCCTGAAGGCCGATGTTGTGCGAGTACAGACTAGACGGTCCCAAACATACCAATGACCACGAGTTGAATCGGGGTAAAAGTCCCGGCGGACTCATTGTGTGCAACATTCCCGGCAAATATTCAGTGGTCGACGACTGGTGCAGGAGTTGCCCGAAGTGCGGACTCTCGCTCTCGCGTATAACTAGTTCGATGTCATTTTCCCTATCGATGGCTTCGTCGCCATCCTCTTCCTCCTCCTCCTCCTCGTCGTCGTCAGTGTATACTTCACTAGAACTGGTGTGAGACTCGTCGTCGTCCACCAAGTCTTTCACCAACTGTTCGGACCTCAGCTCTAATTGCGGATCAATTTCTTTCTGTTGGTCCGACAGCACTGTCTCGACGGCCGCCTTATTGTCGTCCGCTCTGTCCTCTACTTTGTCCTCCACTTTGTCGTCTTCTTTGACACTAACTTTATTGAACTCATCCAACAAGAGGTCGGTATTCAAGTCGGCGCTCACCTGTTGTGACAGATTAGTGAACGAAGAAACCCCGGCGTCCGGTTGCGACTCAAAGGCCAACTCCGCGGGCGTTAACGACGGGTCGAACTGAGAACTCGCGGCCTTCGAGTGCACTGGACTTCGGGGCAGCGGTTGAGGCCGAGCCACGGGCTCTATATAATCACTGCTCGGCTCAAACACGGGGAATAAAATGCGCTCCAAATGACCGCAACTGCACTTCTTCTTCAACATAGCGTAGAAGTCATGATTGGCGGCCTTCACTGTAAACGGGTCCTCTCTGTTGGCTTGCCGTCGGCCGCAATCACAGGCGCAGATCAGTTTAGCGCCACTCATGTGTTTCATCGATGGCAACCTTTGCTTCGAATCGGATTCAGTGTCCGAATCGCTGTTATCGTTACTGTTGTCGTCATCCGATTTGAGTCTATGAATCGGATTAATGCAGTGATTGTTTGTCAAACTCAACACTTCGCACATTTGGCGCCCGTTTTGCCAATAGTTGTCGCACTCGAGTTTGAGCTGTTGGCCGAAGTCATAGACCGCCGAACCCCTGGCCTGTAGTGTGAAGTGTTGCAAAGCGTGCGCCAACTTATGTTCGTGAAAGTCACGGGTATAGTGAGAGGGCAGTGCGTCCTGATATATGCTCATAGCTATGGGCAACACTTTAGCGCAACGCGACTCCGAGAACCGGGTGTCGATGTCCAGAGACGAGTGCAACGAATTCAATATAGTCTTAAGGCTCGCATTCTCGCCGTTCGTCGACCCGAACAACAGCTCTTTGAGTTTGAGTGCCGTCTGAAAGAACTCCTTAGCGGACGGCAACTCGAATATAGGCGGCGCCGCGTGTCGGCCAATGTTGTCGTCGAAGCCCTTCGAGTGCGCGATTCCGATGTGTGTCCACAGAAACGTGTGAAACGAATCCCATTCGCAGTCGTTCTCTTCGTCGCTGGAACTGTTGCTCTGGCGGTCAGTTTTGCAGTACTGAATGAGACGATTCATAAGATAATCGCCGGAATCGCGAATAGTCGGGTCTTTGGCCGATATGAACACATATTCGTGATGTGCGGACACAGCGAACAAAGAGTTGGCACTTATATTGGTTATGAGTCGCGTCTTTCGCAATATCCTATAGATCTGGTCCTCGAGTTGTCTTTCAGCGTTTCGCAGCTTTTCTCTTGTAATGAACTGATTCTTGCCGTAAGACTCGAACACAAAGAGCGCCCGCGGACTACACAGCCGTCCCGACTGAACCCAATCGGCCGGCAGTGATGACAGCGTTTGCAGACATTCGGTGATAATTGGCTGCAACTTCTGTCGCGTGGAGTCTAATATCCTAAACATATTGATCTGATTTAAGTCGAAATGTGGCGAAGGATTGACAACAACTACGATATGACTTAAATGGAAGAGAATTAGAAGCGCTTTACAGAGGTTTGTCTGTAAGTCTGGCCACACCTGAAGGAAACCCTGAAATTTGTTGTCACAAAACAAATGGTCAGTATTTTTAAATCCATGGATGCCTTTGACTATCAATTATAAGATACCTTTTCGTAGATATCTTTCTCGATATCTTTGCAAATGTGAGTCATTGCTAACGAATCCAATATAGAAGTCAAGTGAAGAAATATGACTTTATTCCGGACGTCATAATAGCCATCGATTTGACAGTTCTGTTCATTGAGAGACAATTTTAAGACATTTAAACCTCTGATCAACACATGTGTGGCAATGGAAACATTGGGATCCGATTCAAGTGATGCTCTTTTCTATCAATAGTGGGTTTAGTCAA